CTAGTAAAAAAAGAACACTTGAAAACTTCACGAAACAAAAAAAATCGTCGAAACCATAAAAACAATAACAATAATTATGGTTATGATAAAAACTATTGTAGAATATTAGGGGGGAAAAAGATAGAAAAAACAACCCACAAGGAAAGTGAGACGTTAAACAATAGTTAAACTAATAAATTAAATCTATGTATCCATATGCTTATGTGTACACACCTCAGTGTAGATTATTAGTACAAGCTAAAAAGATCAATAGCCCAACAACAACAAAAAATAAGTGAGGAAGTGAATAATAAAATATTTTAGTGTTAGAAAATGGCATTTTCATTGACTGGCTGACTAACTGATTACCATTGTTTATCACCACAAGTAGAGACTTACAGAGATTTGGATTGGGAATTTTTCGAACCTAGTTTTAAATACATTCATAAATGTATAGGTGTAAAAATGTCGATAAACAAAAACAGAACAAACTAAGAAGAAGCATTAAAATGACTGGTTATATTTTTTTAAGAGAATGAAATACATTCAATCCTGACGTGCATAGTACAATATATTTGATATGTTCAGTTAGATTGACCGATTGTTTGGTCAAAAATTGAAGATACAGAGAGTATAGTATTGAATCCTAGGAGCTAGATGGTTATATCATGGAGGTAGAAGCTGAAGATATTGCCTAGAATGACTATGAAAGCTCCACAATTCAACCGTTTAGCTTGGAGAAGTCAACATCAGCAAAATAATCCACTTGATCAACAAATTTTCTCCATAACACATATATACACTTATCGATTGTTTAAAGATCCCCATCATATTAAAAGACTAATATTTGAATAAAGAATATTCTTTACAGATTCTACGATTCATATATCCAAATTAACAATCCAAAAAATGGCCAGTTTAAGGGCAAAGTGCATCGTTTAAAGTTAAAGCATGTAAATTTAGGATTATCAAACAAAATAGAATAAAATTATTAATGTTGATATGACTCATATGGAATCAGCTTATATGGCCAAGATTGTATGGATAACCAAAGGTACACAAACCGGGGGTCCCACTAAGACCAAGTTTGGCTGGTAACTTTTATTGAAACCTCTCGATGAAAAACTTATAAAACAATATTAAGAATGTATTCCGAATTGTTCACAAGATCAAAAATGTAAATACTTTGGGACTAAAGATGATGTCTTTGGATGTAACATCATTATTCACAAATCATTATATGTGAAATAATCTCAGCGATTGAAATCTAAATAATTCAAACGTTTCGTCCAGCTAATTTATCTGGACGAAATGCACCATAAAGGTAAATTTTAAGTCCAACGGAGAAATCTATAGACAAACGGATGAGGTTGTAATGAGTTCACCATTAGGCCCTATACTAGCTGACATTTTTCTAGCCAAACTAGAAAATGGTCCACTCGAAAAGATTATTCAAAAATTCACATTTTACTGTCGATATGTGGATGATACGTTCATCCTCTGTAAAGATGATACATCACCGAAAGAGGTTCTTAGGCAGTTTATTGAAGTACATCCAGCTATTGAGTTTACATCTGGAGAAGAGAGTGATGGTAGGATAGCCTTTTTGGACGTTCCCTTAACTAAGAGGGCGAATGGATCATTAAAAAGGAATTTAAGTAGAAAAAAATACCTGGAAATGACAGTACACACACCTCCCTAGCTTTGTACAAAAGAAACCTGATCAAAACTCTTAGTTACCGAATACGTACTATATGTTCTACGGATATAGGTGAAGAAGAGCTAATTACCTTGAGTAAGACTATTAGGGAGAACGAATACCGTAAAAATTTTGCACTTAAGTATATGATCACAAAGGTAAGAATAGGCGAAATATAAACGGTGAATAAAAAATCCCTGTTCATGCGCTTACAATTTAGAGGTGCGATTAGCGAGATATTAACTCGGAGATTACGCAGAACAACCCAAAAATCTTTCAACGCCGGAGAACTACGATTAGTGTTTTCTACACGCCCAGTGGTGACACAGAGGTTAAAAGTTGAATTACCTGGAATGACCACCTCATTTTGTATTTATCAGTTCGACTGCTCCTGTGGAGCAAATTATATTGGTTGAAGTTTTAGGAATTTGCATTTTCGTGCTCGTGAACACCCAATGTGGCTAAGCAAAGGTCTGATGAAGAAAGTGAACAGCTCGATATTGGCCCATCTAGTAGAAACTGGTCATAGTGCCAATATAAACCAATCAACATTAACAATTTTATTCTATTTTGTTTGACAATCCTAAATTCACATGCTTTAACTTTAAACGATGCACTATGCCCTTAACCTGGCCGTTTTTCGGATTATTGGTTTGGATATATGAATGGTAGGACCTGAAGAGAATTCATCGGAAGAAATATTCTTTGTTTAAATATTGGACTTATTGATTTATTTATTAATTATAGATTTATGTTCTTGACTTTGAACCACACTTTTAATGTGAGGTCTAGTGATATTATCCAGTTGGCCCAATCAAAGTAAGTGGAGTGGGGAGTCCGGATATGCAAAATAGTGTCTGAAGGTCGGATGTCATAACTACTGGGTCACCGCCTCACAATATACACAAAAATTGGATTTGATGATATCAGTCAGTTAGTCATTATAAGAAAAGATTTAGGACAAGAGTGTAGAACACTTCCAATTGTCATACCTAACATCAATACAAAAACAGAGAAAGGGAAGGAATTGACTAGCTGAGAAGCAGAGTATAGCAATAAACTTCAACTACAGTGAAAATCGAAACACGAGAAATACATTTTCAGAATAAAAATACGACTGACGATTGGAATATTAGCAATGATACTGAACTCGATATTTTGAAGTAAAATAGAGAATGAATGCAACCATAACACTGACTACGTTTATCACATAAAATTCAACGCATCAAGTCATTACTGATTACGAGTAGTGCATAAGCCCAAATCAAGACGTATGTATCCTAGAACTGGTTCGAGAGAAGAGTCAATAACTTCATATATGTGGATAAGATGTCTTGATATGATCGTCTATAAATATTTTCCAGCCTACTTATGTTACAAGGACTTAGTGGTTACACTCCAAAACATCTATTGACGTAATACGATTACTCTTACAGACAACTGGCAAGAAGCAATAAAAATCTACACAGTGATTTTTAATTCACTGAAGATAACGACCATGGTCAGATGAAGACTGAAAACGAAATGTACTGAAGTGGAATTTAATTAATCCAACAAATTTCAGAAGAATAATGAAATCTCATTATAAATGTCATCAAGTAACATTTAGATCCTGCTAGAGAAAAACAATCAATTCAGAACATTTTGAAGATGTGTTTACAATAGTTAAAATGATGATGTAGGAATGATTAAGAACGAAGAGTTGGTTTGGAATGATAAAAATAAAAGAAAATATTACAACAGATGGATGTATTCAATGTTCACGGATGTAAATAGAAGTTTGAATCAAAATTAACTTTTCTGTTGAATGTTGGCACTTAAAAGAACAATAACTAAAGAAACTGATGATTGATAATAGGTTTGACTGGATAATATGATATGTAGTCGGATAATTGAATGTACTTATCGTCTTCAGTGCATTTCATCAGTTAATGATATAATGAAAAGTCTGAGTAACAAATACAAACACAATCAATACTTTCATTGCTTATGTAGAATACATATTAGTAAGGTTAAGTAGGAGAAAAAAAATCAGTGGAAAAAAACCCGACAGTCTAGCAGTACTACCGCTGACAACTAAAGCTGAGGATAAACAATACTATAAATAAACTTAGTGTATGTGGAATTCACATCCACACACACACATCAACACATACGCACAAAAGTAAATAGCTTGAAAGAGACTACCTTGATTAAAATCAGCTTTTATATAATGAATGAGGCGAATATGCAAATCAGAATAAACGAAATAAACAGTCACACAATTCAATGGAAAGGAGCAAAATCGACAGATTTCAAACACCTTTTGACTGAACACGGTAGTATTATTGACTAGGAGGGGACATAATTGATAAGTTACTTTACCACAATCAGAGGTAAATTGATATGGAAAAACGATTGTTTCAAACAAGCGATGCACATAGTTAAAGACCTGTTAGTAGGGTGTATATTAGATTTGTACAAAGTAGTAACCAAGTGTCAATAAAGTAACAAGATTAACATCAAACTAAACCAAAGGCAAATACATAAAACTTTTTTCACTAGGCCATTCATGATTCAATAAAACAGATATCAGATATGTTTTTCATAGAGTTATATAGACAATAAGGTAGTATTTTATTATTTGGATGTCTGCCCCCAAATGCCCTGATACGGCTAAGAGTGGGGAGAGACAACTCTCCCACTCCAAATGCTCTCACATGGTCACGTGCATACAACCACTACCAGGGAAGTCTTACTCACTACATTCTCACACCACGGGTGTTGTTTGCGAAATTAAGAGCACGAAAACCGAATGTTCGGAGCATTAACCGGGTTGGTGGATACGGAGAGTCCACATAGGGGAGTTGGAAAGTCATCATTCCAAACCAATGGTGCACTCCAGGATCCTGAAGGAACAAATTACGTATGAACCTATTGTTGGTCACCGACTACCATGGGGACTGCGTCACCTGACGCTGCTTCACTGCCTTTTGGGTCAGATCATTAGGTCGAAGTCTCTGGGTGTGGCTCCCTCAGCAAACCACCTATTTCAGTTCGGGCACCCAGGCAGTATCACAGCCCACACACAAATCAAGTTCATCGTGTGGCGCATATCTATTTAATACCTCCTTGTACCAATGTTTATGTGTTTAAAAAAATAAATTTGGATGTTTATGCCTAATCTGTTATATCTTGAACATTGAGGAAACTGATATCCCCAGACAACAAACACACAACGCTTATCAAATACTCATTATAGAGTCAGATACATCAAATTACAACGAATTTAATAAATAATAAAGAATAAACATTATATAACAATATACATTCAATATAATACCTCGGTAAGATGTATTTGATAAAGATTGTGGAAGTACATTGTCTAATGGATGTAATGCTTTTAAAGGACCTGAGCTTGTACATGATGTTGAATTGTTAAATATTAGACCTCCTCCACCAATCGAGGAATATGAATCTACATTGGCAGCAACAGCGGCTAATCGAGCTTTATGCATTTTAAGTCGACGTGTTGTTGGCATAGTGGAATATTGTTTATCAACATCTAAATAAATATTATTATAACAAAAAAATTAGAAAATGGAGAACAAAAATTATCATTATCAAAAGTATTATTTTGAGTAGTACGCAACAACAACAAAATATTTTTTTGAAAAAATAAATTATTTGTAAAGCACATGTTGAGGATACTAGATCCCCAGAAATCTCTTGGTAAACCTTTTTATTTTGGAAGTTTGAATTTCGCGTTTTCGCGCCAAAAGCGTACATTTTTACCTTCAGATTGTAATACCTACTTGGAAAGATCCTAAATGTCATTGATTCGTTGTCTCATAAATACGCTATTTTGTGACATCTCCCAAGGACTTTTTTATACTGTATATATATATATATATATATATATATATATATATATATATATATATATATATATGCTTGAGTTGTGTGTTTGGTTTGTTCGTGGTCCTGGTTGCCTGTGGAATATACCTTTCCGTCATTTGAACCTGGTTTGAAGCTGGGACCCATTGGAATACTTTAGTTTGTCTTGCCGTTCGGTTCAGCGATTTGGGTATTCTCGTAATCTCTTCAAAGATAGTATATGACTAGCAACGGAGTCTAGGACACGGTGCTTTTTTCTAATTAAGACTCCACAGTCAGCAGACGGACAGGTCTCATCAACATAGCCTGGCACAAATATCATTAGTTCACGTTACCACACTTGATCAGCACAAAGATATAAAAACAACAAAAGGGATTGAAATAATGTAATATCAATGATACAAAAGAACACTAAACATTTGGAATATAGTTCGAATAGATAGAGTGGAAAAGTATATCTGAAGGGATACTGGGATTCCAGATCGACGTAATTGCCAAGTGGACGCATATAAGATTATACGCAACTACCAACATGGCTCAGACCAATTAGTAAATGACTTCACAAACTGATGTCATGTTTTATTTTGGCTTCCTTTACTTCTATTTAAACCTACTTCCACACTTGCGAGGATCTCTTGTAGAGGTAGGAGGTAGTTAAGTATATGTAATAAATGTCTCGACCATATCCATCATAATCGAACAGATTTATGAATTCATAAAAAGTCTATACAACCGATCTTTTTACCTTGGAAATCAGCATTAACAACACTGAAGCGAGTTACAAATAATATGTTATCCTCTCCCTTCTGCTTTATCGACAAAATTCTCACATATTTAGTTGGTCTTTTGCTCACACATAATTATTAAACTATACTCGTTTCGTTATTACGTGACCATTATTAACATTTTATTGAAAATATTCTCAATGCACGTACTAGATATGATGGAATCTGACAATTTTTTTATAACAAAATGGTTTAATGAATTTGGTATTGATTTAATTACTTTGTTATTCATTCATCATTATTTTCATGAACACCTCTAAGCTTGTAGTGGTATTATCTAACGGTTAGTCTCTTATTGACATATGTGATTCCTGTGCGTATTGCCTCGACATTACCTTAATTCATAAGCATTATAAGCAAAGATGGATAGTGGCTAGCAGTGAAATTTAAGACGCGGATTTCGTTCTATTTGAGACTCGTCGGCTGGATGTACATGCATCTTCTCAATGTTTATGTTCACTTCGAGACTTGAACCCGAGACCGTTCGCTTCAAATACCATTGCGTTATCCACTTAGTTACTGGGTCCTGAGAGCCACTTGCTTATGCGATGGGGTGAAGTTTAAACTCACTTGGTACATCCAGCTGACGAGTCCCAAATAGGGAGAAATACGCGTCTTGGATTCTACCGCTAGCCATTATCCATCCTTGCCTATGTTACCATTTAGTTATTTTTATGAGAAGAGATGAGTAGGTTGTACGATAATTTGACACAAATAGTCCCACCCCACCCCGATGAATTGAATTCAGTATGATCTGTTGTGATCTGTAGAGTCAACTAAATCTCGAATGAGATAATTGTTCACCGATAAGAGTCGATAAAGATTAAGTTATGTCAGTAGGAACTGAAGCCGTGGTCCCCAACCGGGTGATCTAAATGTTCATCATGAGTTCTCATTGTTCTGAGTCCGACTATAAGTAGAATATTTGAAGTGTATTACTGAAGAATCCTGGAATAAAGCGAAGTATTTGCCGAATGTTGATTAGTGTATAAAAGTTGTATCTCTGAAGCTAGTCAGTTCAAGTTGAAAACAATCTTCAAATGAATTTAATTTGCTAAGTCATTTTTTAAAATTTATACTAATTAGTGAAATACTAAGCATACTAAAATTACCTTCTGGCATTTTATAACGATTAGGAAGAATATTTGTTTGAAAAAACGAATACTGTGAAGCATCCACATGACCATGACGTTTTTCTGAAACACTACGACGTCCAAATCCATCACGTAAAAAATTTCTGTTAGATGGTACTGATAAATTTCTTGATGTAGGATAGTTTACTTTTAACAACGATTCTGTTGATAACAGATGATTATCCTCATGAATATCTGATCTTTGACTAGATAAATGTGAATGAGAATCCCCATGATAATCATGATGCAATATATGTGATCCAATTTCAGACGATATCGAGTCAGATCTATGTAACAGACGTCGACGACTATCATTTAATGTAAACGATAATGAACAAGTATCTTGTGAATCAGCTGGGCTATTCAATTTACTATGTTCATGACGACCAGGATGACCCTTTTCTACTGCTTCACCACGTATTGTTTTAATGTGTCTACAACTAAGATAAGAAGAGATTTGATAGTTTTGTTTATAGAATGTTGTGGTCATTAGTGTCTTGAGGGAAATACCTGAATAAATTCCATGTGAAGGTCATAGGCAAAATAAATGAACCATACAAGAGTTTTAATTTTCATTACGATCGTAATAAATATAGAACAAAATTAGTTTACATTAATATTGATATTACTGTCAATCTATTGATGATGTGATTTGAAGTGTAGCAGTTCATGTTGATATACATCTCTGTACCAAGTCCTAAGCAGTTCATAACTAACTACAACAATGAATGTATTTATCATCAAATCTTGATGAATCTATGTTCAATGGAATATAAAAACCACCTGTTAAGTCAATTCAATTTAAAAAACGTTCCACACATAGATCATCCAGCCCAGTGCTATAAATGTGAATATATATTTGCTATCTAAAGCCTATACATTATAAAACTTATCTCAATATAAATCTCCATCAGCGAGAGAGTTGAATGAGACTAGGACCAAAAATTAATTACACTCTAATACTTTAGAGCTCTCAGCACACAAATAAGTTAATAATAGATTGAAATTAGATGGTTTAAATTGTTTGTTTTGGCTAGCGTTTTTTTTAGCAAGGCTTTTTTCTACGAGATAGGGTTGCTGACCCCATGCCCAATCCTCTTCTTTTACCCAGGCTTGGGATCGGCAGTAACCCTAAAAGAGCTACCGGATAAAGTTCGATGGAGAGTCCTGAAGGGCGGCCTACGCTCCTCCACGAGGGGTAACGGGCGTAAGTAATTAACAATGAAATTATAGAGAAAATTTATAGCACGAGTTGTGTTGTATTCTCTTAGCTGAATGGTTTGATCAGAAAACTTTCATTGTTATTTTGGGCAATACCAGTAGAGCTTACCTCCCATATAAAAAAGAGGAGAGACTTTTAGTCATTCCACAAGTGTTAAGTTACTCTGTTCTGACGAACTAGTCTATGAATGATTGTCTTCCACGTTTTAATCAGTTTCACCTATCATTTTGTTCCAGTTGAATGTGTTCGCATGACTAAAATCTAATGATGGAAATCGACGTTGGCTTTTTTTTGTATAGATCGGTTAATCAAATATATATTGACCTGTTTAATAGTTGACCTGAATATCATCATACCAGAATATTCTCGGACTATAATTTTCACGTTTTCCTACTTACATTGAAATACGTGGTTGTCTACGTGCACTGATGGGATACCATGCCATTTTTACTGCTATTTTTTGTTGGTTGATGTGTATAGAGACACAGGATGTTCAAGATGATGTTTATACTAGTAGGTACAATGTATTTTGTTAATAATATTTCATGTTTAACTTCGATGTTTTGTTTTTCAGTCTACATAAAATGGAATAAAATGATCCGGTTGACTTATGACGGATGTTGATTCCGAACCACTTTAAAATCCTTGTGCTAATATCTGGGATGAATATCATAAGTGTGAAAACACCGATCATGGGGAGTCCTTTTCAACCAGCGAGTGGCAGGTCGAAACCTAAAACTTTTAGGTATCACGATGTGCACTTAACCTTTAAACAATTAAATTAGAACCCAATGGTTTACATTTCTAATTTCAATCAACACGAGATTTGTTTAGTGGTTTACGAAGATAATCTTTTGTTGATGTAGACACTGTGATAAAGTTGAGAGTGTAACTATGATTACTGAGAATGGGCAGACAACTAAATACTTCATTTTTACGTGGAATAAGCACTGAAAAGTAATGAAAGCTTCGTAGTATAATAACATATTTTGTAGACAGTTTATTTATTGTACTTGATAGTAATAATCTTCAACCGTTAGACTTGTATTTCAGTGAAGGCAACATGAGATGGAATAATTTCAGTGGAAAAATGTAATTCGTGAACTAAGTATCTACAGAGTTTGGATTCATATATGAAGATTGTTGACACTATACCTCTTTAAGATACATAGTAGAATCCAGATGAGAGATTCGAACATCCAATCTGACGATTTAAAACTGAGTGTTTGAATCACTAAGCCACCATTGATCATGAGAACCATTTACATTCACTAATCGACAACAGAACAAGTAACAATAACACAAAATTGATAGCCTAAATAATGATTTAAAGAATGGGTTTGGATGTATTACAGGTCAAGTTATTAGACTATCAAGTCAGACTGAACATCATCACAACAGTAAACCTCTAGTCTATAAATCACGATACTTTATTGCTTGCATTGCATAAAATATTGCGTCATTGGGTATTAACCTCAAAGCAAAATGGATGGTAATATTCAGTCACTTAATAAAATTTGATCGATAGGTTACGATGAACGATAAAAACGTATCCTACCGATCGTATCTAAACCAAAGTCTTAGTGTGACGAGTAAGTCAAATATTTTGACAAAACTACGAAGTTTGTTTACATACATAAACACATATAAATCAATTTACCTTGGTGGATGTACAGATGTTAGTTTCAATGTATCTCCAACACTTGATCGACGATCATTTTGATTCTTATATCGATGAACAGTGAGAGTGAATGAGGCTGACGATTGATCGGAGTTACTAATATTTTGCTCATGACATTGTTTGATAACATTTTTCAACTTATTTACAATAGTCTAGAGTAAAACAAATACCCCCCCCCAAAAAAAGGAAACGAATGAATCCTCGGTAGTATTATAAAAACAAGTATTGAAGAATAGATATGTAGTTTATCATCACAAATTAAACAATAATACTGGAGATTTGTAGCTCAGGTGGAGTTTTTTTCAAAATTCGAACACTACATTTTCACCTAAAGTTTGTGCTAATGATGTTGTTCAGAAGAACAACAAAAGCTTCACGAGCAAACTATCCAGCTCAGAGAACAAAACCCCACCTAAACAATAATGAGTTTTCGTCGACAAATGGTGAAAAAAAAACATTAGTAAGAGTATTGTAAAGCACTAAACATCTGAGATCAGTAGCTCAATGGATAGTCTTTTAGGAATTTAAAACAAAAAGTACTAGGGTTGAATCACTATGTGAACATCAACATTGAGATACAGTGACATTCAGCCGACGAATCCTAAACTGGAAGAAATACATGTTCCTTGATCCCACTATTAACTACATACCATTTATATGAAAATATCAAAAATTAGGTAAGTAGTAACTTTGTCAATAACGAATAATTCATATAATCACATATAAAGCTGATATTTAAAAAGAAGGAATGGTAGGTTACATCATAAATTAACATTTTGAAGTAAATACTTCCTTTTTATTAGATAATAGATATAATAGCAATCAATTGAATAGAATAACATATGTTTATTTTAGTTCTTCAGGTTCTCATCAGCAATCTAAAACCTGAAGTATTTATGTATTATCTTGAAAATAAGTAGCAAGAATAAGAATTTGACAACATAACAGAATACACTGAATTATACATTTCTGTTGTGAACAGTGGGTAATCCGACTGTTAGGATTTTCAACACGAGGTCGTATCATTATATCCAGTTTACTTAATGGAATATGAAAAGATCTACAAGTTCCATGTGCTTAACATTACCATATAGCATTCGATTTATTTAAAGAGTATATGAACTTTAATAAATTTTGTCTACTCAGTTATAATAAGGCATTTGTTTAAATATTGTTCTATAGAGTATAACGGGTATGTATGTAAAATCGAAAAACTGAAAGAAGGATTATTAGGATGAAGTTGTGAAGATTGTTGAGTTTTTGGTTGAGATCATGAATTGATCAATGTTAGACCACCATTGAAAACTTGAGAGCACTGGATGGTCTTTTCGTCCTAATATGGGACGCCTTAGAAGTGCGTTGATTGATTAAAGTAGGAAATTAATAACGTTGGAGCCAGCTCACTAGTCTAAAGGTTAAGCGTTCGAGCGTGAAACCTGACGTCCTGGGTTCTAAGCCCGTGTGAGAAATCAAAGGCGTACACTGTTTACGACTCCTACACTAATACGAAACGGCCGTCCAGTGCTTCCAGGTTCTCAATGGTGGTCTAACATTGATCAATTTATGGTTTCAAGAAAGAAAGATTGATGAATGTTGAAAAGTGACTAGAAAACAAATGCTATCCAAAAAAAACCACTAAAAAATAAAACACAACAAGTCGAATGTGGCTACAGTCAACAAAAAATCAATCTTCATCCATCTCAATTTAAAAAAGGTAATAATGTTGCAGTGATCTCCAGTAGAATTTTGAACGATTCAGTAACCAGAACCTTTTCTGAAACTTAACTATTAACCCTGTATCAAACAACGTATTCAATAACTGAATAGTCGATGAGTGTCTTTTTTATGTTACCGTCAAATTGGTTTATAAATTTACATGTATCTACAACGGCAGCTACACTGGTCGAACGGGAAATGAGGTAATCATCTGAATTCTTTAAACATGTTTCACAAAGCAACCAGCCAAAATAAAAAAGTTTTGATCCAAAGATCACTTGAACACAGAACACCAAGTTGATACTTTAAAAATCTTCCAGTATGATTAATAATCAACTGAACTGTAATATTTTCAAACTTACAATAGCCATTTCTATCACGTAACCCAAAACCTCATTTCTATGCTCTAAAAGGAACGGTTGATATTGTTTATCTTTGTCTTGATAATATAAAATTTATTTGATTACATAATAAGAATATTTTCAATGATTTCATTCGATGAATTACATAATTATGTCACTTTGTCAACTCTCTTCTACTTCAATGAATCTATCTTTATTTAACTAACTGATAATTACACATTTTATTGTTATTTATCATAAGCACTAGTTTGTTACACGTAACCACTTATTTATAGCCTTTGGGAATTTTCTTGAATATATATATTTTTTCCCATTTTTCTTCAATCTGAATAAGTCAAGAGTAAAATGATTGTTCTAGTTTTGACCGATTTCAACTGTTTAAATATTTTTGACCTATTTTGTAATTATGATCTTTTTTACATACTGTTAAGTTTGAAAATTCTAAGTTTCATTCCTGATGCAGTCCTGAATCCACATGGTTAAGGAGTTGTTATATACTAAGATGAAACAGCTGATCAATACAATTGAGTTTTTTCAACGAGTATCTTACTTACTTACTTACGCCTGTTACTTCCAATGGAGCATAGGTCGCCGACCAGCACTCTCCATCCCTCCTGGTAAAACTTAATTCATGAAGTAAAGAATATACAGATCGACCAAACTCCTAACATCCTGTAAGCTCATAATAAGGACTAAGTATGGATTATCTAACATCTACAGACTTCAAAATGATTTCTGAGTACATAAAAAATGACTTTTTTTCTTATCCAATTGCCTATATGCAGGCTTTTACCAGTTCGCATGTTCCTAAATCATGTACTTTGAACTCCTTAAACACTATTTATTATTTATTTATTTATTTAAACACATAAACATAGCTACAAGAAAGCACAAAACATATATGCACCACATAAATCATTTGATACCCAAACCTAGGCAGATGGTTTGTTTTAGAGGACCACACCCGAAGCCTTCGACCTAAAGGTCTGATCCACAAGGCAGTTGAACAACGTCAGGAGATGCAGTCCCATGGTAGTCGGTGACCAACAATAGATTCACACGCAATTTGTTCCTTCAAGATACTGGAGCCCATGTGTACCATTGGTTTGGAATGATGACTTTCCAACTCCCCTATGTGGACTCTCCGTATCCATCAACCCGGTTAAAGCGCCGGACATTCGGTTTTCGTGCTCTTAGTTTCGTAAGCAACACCCCTGCCGCGGGGAAGGCAGTAAGTAGGACTTCCTAATAAGCACTAACTTTCAGCAATTCAATAGTCTCCAGAAACAATGAACAAAGAAACAGGTCGGAAATATGCAAGAAACAACGAAAAACATACGAAAATCGGCAACCAATCCGGTAATTGTTTAATCAAAATAAGAAAGATATAATCAATCGTCTTACAAACTGTTTTCAAAAATTATCAAACATAGTACTGTTGACATTTTTCCTAGCTTCAAAGGAATTTTCTAAGAACTCCCAACAATTAGAAAGAAAAGAAAATTATCCTAGCTAGTGTTCGCTTTCAACAGATACACACAACAGCATGCATGACTCAGCATATGTATATACTGATCAAAGGGAAGAGAATATGAGTTCGATTTCAATCTAATTATAGATTTCTGAAATCTTCTGAAATCCAAGAAGTTTTAATTATTGTATAAAAATAAGTCTAGCCTCTGTATACAAAAGGAATATATTCTATTCTCGTCTTCAGTCAGTCAGTAACAACGTAGAACCTCGTACGTACGTACATCAGTTCGAGTTGCCATACCACATTAGCACAGAGATCCAGTTGTCGATTCAAATCCCATAGTGGTAGAGGTAGTAAGAGTATAAGCAGTAATCGGAAACATTAGGGTTTGGAGATGTTATTCAAGTATAATCCAGCGAAATAAATTTGGAAAGAGAAAAAAGAGACAAGGAGGAATCAGGAGATTAGAATTTTGAAGAACAAAAAGAGTGGATGCACCTGAGCCATTGCAAATGATTTTGAGCCATGTCATTCAGGGTCTCTAACCATCGGTTGCTATCATCTTGCGGTTCCCAACCAGGTAGTCTACACCTACCAACATGACTCAGTCCACTTGTCAGTGACTTCGTGGACTTGTGCCTTGTTTTGGTCTGGCCGCCCCTAGCTTTCTTCCAAATTACTCCTATACCACTGAACATCGCACGTCAAGGCAGTCGGTCGTTGGGCATACGTAACACGTGTCCCAGACATTTCAACTGATGAAGTTTCACTACTTCATCAATGGATTTGCCATCCTTACCTAGTACCCGTTTCTTAACAACTCCGTTACTTACTCGATGGTTCCAGGATATACGAGCAATGTTTCGGTATTCTCGTCTTAATAATTTATAATTAATAACAGTTTTAGCATGATTGATGGAATGAATGCTTTATATTGTAATGAATCTATCATAGTTCCAAACACTTGCCTGATATCTTCAAGTAAGGGAAGAAGTCAAATGTTAATATTTCTAAAGTCACCCTTACATTATTACATAACATGTTCTATGAAATTCAGAGAAAATCAATTCACCAATATGTGAATTAGAATAAATATTATTATTCATTTTAGCTTACTTTAGCATTCATTCCATCTACAGATTCCCCATTAATTGCAACAAGACGATCGCCAGTTTTTACAGTTACATGATTGCTTGAAGTAACAAGAGTATCAGGCAGAAGACTATCGACATATAAACCTGGTATAGAAGAATACTGAGATGGAGAAGCTGGTCTTGTAATTGACTTTGTAGTTACTGTCTGTGGTGATGATGGGGATGAAGATAATAATGGTGATGTTAAAATATCATTGGACCATTTGAAATTGATTCCTAATACTGGAGGTCCTTTTATAGTATCTGATTGATTAGTAGTAGTATCCAATGGAAGTTGATACTCAAAGGTACAAGTCATAAACGGCTAAATATTAATAAAAAGGAATGAATAAGAACAACCGATAATTATTTGAAGCTGACTCACCAAGTACAATTATTTATGTGATTTGCTCTAAGTAACATATTTATTATGTAAGAGCTAATGTAATCCTACCCAGTTACCAAAACCAAACTAGGCAGAGCAAAGATTTCTATCTGAGACTTATTGGTTGAAAGTCGAGGTTTTTAACCAACTAAGTCATCAATGTACCACTGTAAGTTAGATAAATCCAACTATCAAAAATAAGATGCATAACTCAACAACTCAAGTCTAACCAATGATCAACGTCACATTCTAGATTTAGCATAAAAGTAGCCTGGTGATGCCTACATTAGAACATGACCTGATTCATGATCATATGTAGGTCCATGACTTTTCCAAATGGTTGGTGAATTGGGTCGATTTCGATGTGTTTATTGATCGTTAATTTACCTAACTCCAAGGGTTTAGAAACACACACTTTGATCTTCTGTATATTTTCTCTATCCAAAATCTCAACATTTTCCCAATTGAACATGTATCCATGTGCATTGATATCAATGTAGACACATTATGAAGATAAAGAAGGCGCCTACTTATCCAATGTAGTGTTTCTCGCAGTTGGAATAGTTTATTTTAAAGATGTTCATCATCAACATCAAAAAAGCATCAACAACAAAAAGATCCATGATTAAACCATCCAGCTCAGAGAACAAAACTTAACCCGAACCATACACCTCCTTAACTACAAATCTTCATCAACTCAAAGTTCCATATCTATCAAATTTGACAATGTCTATTACTGAATGAATGACTGTACGAAGTTCAGTACCAGGCAACAAAAAAAAAACATTCCATTATTCATAAACAAAAGTTGACCCTAACAATTAAGATGAAAAGAAAAAACCACTATAATTTGAAATCAATGTCAATAAACGTGATAAAATTATCAGCTATCATATTAAATCCATAAAGACGAAATGATTATTCTCAAACTTCTTTGATAAATAATACATTAACATATAAATGAATACCCTTCTTCTGTGTTCTTTACACAATCACTTTCTTTTCTATTTCGTTATCACTCTCTCAACATAATCAGTAAGTATATACACACACACACACACATACAAACATACACAGATAATAGAGTATGTGGAACCAGAAAAAAGGTTCAATGGTGTCTATCAACATTTGACAGTTTGATTAGGAATGTGTACAGAAGATTTTATTTCTTCTTCTTAAAAATACCAGTGATAATTATCAATCGACTACAGTGATCACACTGATAAAGAGAAGAGAATTTCTCACATTAATTTTTATCATAGAAATTACCAAAAATAAATAAATAAACAAACAAACAAACACGAGCAACCCTGAATAATAGGTAAACTAAATGAGTAAGGTATATTGTAGTCTCGTGTATGACGTTTACTAGTTCACAGTGATCGGGTGAGATAGATAATGACTAAAAGTGGAATCTAAAACGTGTGTTTCGTCCTATTTTTTGGGACTCGTCAAGCATCCACGAATTGTTGTTCAACCCAGGACTCGAACGCAAATGTAAATAAAATGATTTTAATGTAGCTGGATCATTGTGTGTAAGTGGTTGTTTTTAAGCAGTCAGTCAGATTTCATTATTCCACGAAGATTATCAATACTATCACACTTGATCGATAGGATTTAATCAGTTCTAAAGGACCAGACAAACAAAATATTAGTCACCAATCATTGATTAATCAATGTAAATATCTCAGTATTAAAGGTGGTTAGTTACACCCCAAATAACTCAGTAGTAACATCTCATACTGTGAAAGGGGATGATGTGTGTTATAACTTGTGACCTGTGTGCCCTGTTAACGTATAACGTAACGATACCGCCAATTAGAGAACAGTAATTTATCGACGCATAAAACCTGTACGAGCAGTCTAGAGTCTTTATCGGTCCTTCTTCCTACCTAGCCCCGCCTGTTTGTTGATTCCAGAACACCAATCTCAGCCTTTGTGGTATGAATAATGTATTTCAAACATACTGGGTTTATATACCAACCAGACAGACCACATTGTACCATAAAATATGAAACAACATTTGTACAAAATTTAGCCAAAAGTGGCTATGAACATGGGAGATAGAAATTGACAGACAGGGCATAACTCAAGAATGGTAAATCGTATAATAATAGTTCACAGGTCAAAATAAAGCTCATAATAAAAGAGACACGAATATGAATAGTTTAGTTACTTGACAATTATACGACAAAAATATACGTATAGTATTGGTCCATAAATGGGTCCCAAAAGTTACCATTTCTTATTCTCATCGGAATATAACAGTGGGTTCGAATGCTACAGTTACTTTAAGATCCCAGATACCACTTGTTATTGAGTGCGAACTACAAACAGACTTAGATTAACAAAGGTATCTTAACAACTACGTCCGACCATTTAACATATAAACATAACGCACGTGATGTTCACTGTTACTTACTAAACAAGTAAGGTATGTGTTGATAAAATTGCAAAGAAAAACAAATATATCTGACCAAACAAGTCAGAAACTCCGCCTGGAGTCCCTCTGGGGGCTACTGCTGGTCCCAAGCCCGGATAAAGGAGGAGGGTTGGGCACGGGGTTAGCGACCCCATCCCGTAGAAAACTAACTCGCTAAAAAAACGCTAACCAGAAAAAACTATTCCAACCTTTAGAAACAGGTCAGAGTATATAAAATCTTTCCATACCACTTCAAGATTGAATTTATCGCAATATCTATCTAATCCATCTTGCAAACAACAAAACGAATTTCATCAGAACGTAATCTTATTTTGACTATACATCGCAATCATCAATTGCGTCTCTAAGTTTTGCTGAAGAACGTAGTCTGTTCATCATCGCTTGGAATTACAATTTCGGTATTTAGACAAAAATAAAACGTTCTTGTTGTAAAACATGTCGCTAAGTACACGAATGTTTGAAAAATTCAACCACTGCAATCCAGATAACCTCATCAAAAAAAGTCCCCAATAAACATAATAAAAAGTGACATTAAAAAGAACACAATGAACTTACACGTGGAGGTAAGTGTTTTTGTGAAGATTTACGAGTATTCGAGTCTAAATCACAAGAAATTTGCCGAGATATAAGCAAATCCACTTGTTTCCCTGGAGTCAATGATCGTAACTGTGACAAAACTTGATTTAATGAACGAACTTCTTCACCATCAATAGCCAATAGACGATCACCGGCCTGGGAATCAATAAATAAATTATAAAATATTTTCAACTTAACATCTATCGTATCGGATATTTTAATTGTAATGAGATGAAAATGAATAACCTAAAATATTAGTGAAGTTGTAACCAGAAGAAAATGAGATAATAAAAAAACAATCATGAGGTCAGTAATGTGCATCTTGCCGTGTACTGGTACTGCCAGTAGAACTTAGAACTTGTAAACTGACAAAACTTTAGACACTTTAGAAAGTGCTCCCTGGTCTATCCATCCGTTATTCTAGATAAACTGAGCTTAAAAACGGGGTTAAAACGTGATATTGCAAAGAGTGGAAACTTCTCACCACCACTAAAGGTGGCTTCATTCACTTGAGAAATGAAGTTCAAGTCAGTAACTTATAGTAGTTCTTTCAATGTGTTATTTTGTTATATTTTAAAATAATTGCATACTATCAGTCACCACAGTATCCGTCTGAAACAAACGACACAAGTTATTGAATAACTAAGCGAAGACTAGTACAATAAGCTATGAGAAAAAACACTTTCTTGTGCGATGGGGTGAAGTTTAAATTCACTAGGTGTTACAGGTACATCCAGCTGACGAGTCCCAAATAGGACCAAACACGTGTCCTAGATTCCACTGTCTGTGATTTAAGGCAATACCGAGGTAATCCGCACAGGATGTACATCTGTCAATATGAGACTGATCAACTGCAGTCCTAAACATCAATGGAAAAACTCAAACAACTAATAGAAGTTTGGTTTGGCAGAACAAATCTTATGTATCCATCAATCCTGTACATTTAATTAAAGATAAACCTCTAATTGAGCGATGAGAAGCGGTTCACTTAATTAATTCTGGTCTTGTAAGCAATCAATCAACACTCGGTCGTACATCATAATCAATCCAGATAATCAACGAACTAGAGAACTACTAACTGTACGAATTGATTTTAACCTGGTTGTCGATATTTAGAACTTCATCGATGAGCCATTTGTTCACAGATAGATTTCTTGGATAAGTGTTTGAGTAAACGAAAACTGATAAATTCAGCTCTGAATATTAACAACCGAAAAGAATAAATCATTTTATATACAACAGTAAGTAACAAACACATTTTTAAAAAACACCGTTATTTATTTATTTATTAAACTCACATCAATATCACATACAATTGAGCAACAAAATTAGAATAGCTTACACAAAATTTGTGTGCACTGGGATACTGCTCGGGTGATAAAACTAAAGCAGACCTTTTTATTAAGGCCCAATTCCGCGAACCTTTCATCATAAGATCTAATCTACGAGATAGTGGAGTAACGCCAGGAGCTGTAGCCCCATGATGGTCAATAAGCAAAAATAGATTTATACTTCGTTTGTCCCCTAGGGATCTTATAACCCATGTACAAAACTGGTTTGAAATCAGGATTTTTCAACTCCCCTGGAGATCTTCCATATTTACCAAACCAGTCTAACCCCTGGACGTTCTCTTATAATTTTGTCGGTTTGGTATAGAAAATGCGTTGCTGAGTGAAGGCAGTGAGTAGGATTTTATCAGAAGAGACTGTAAAAACGATCATATGAAAGAATTTTGAAAGGGAAAATAGACTGCAGTCATTCTTGACAATACCAGGGCGTTTGAAGGCTGAAGAAGCTGATTTTTAGACTAGAGCAGATTAGTATGACGTTTAAAGAGGGCTGTTAACTAAGGTTTTAGTCGAGACATCAACACTCAAATACAGGTATATCCAGCTGAAGAACTGTGCATAAAATGAAAAACATTTCCTATCAAAAGTCTCTATCCAAAGTATACAATAGAATAAGTCATATTCAATAGTTCAGTAAAACACTGACCAGTAAACGTCCATCTTGTATAGCAGCGCCATCGGGTAAAATCTTTTTCACATACACCGGATCAGACATTTGTGAACTTTGTGTTTGTGTATCACGACTAGTCAATGTGAAACCAAGACCGGTAGTTAACATCTTTGTCAACTGAATATGCATTGTTTGACCAATAGTTCGAGTATTGAATGCATTTGGATCTTTGCTTGACTATGAAAGATAGAAAAAAATGAAAAGACTTTATAATCAAAGACGATTTTACAAATCATTTATTATTACCTAATTAACTAAATGCGCAGGGTTGAAGTGTGCAAAATAATGTTTTTTTTCCATAAGGGTAAGGACTCATGAATTCTTCCTCTTTAGTTATTGTTTACCGCCTAAGAGAATGAAGAGGCATGTCAAAAGCGAAACAGTTGTCACCAATCACATTGCATGACCGTTGCATTTTATCACAAACTGAGTTGAAATTGCACCATTGGACATTGACAATAAATGGCATTACGAGGTCGCTGATGATATTCATCTCACCTACAACAAACATGAACCATAACACTTTATGTTTATCACGAGAATGTCGGAAATTAATTGAGGTCGGAGCTATAAATTGGATGTCAACCCAGTGGTTCTGATAGTTTAGGGCATATCGCGATACCTGGAAGTCATGTGTGTGTGTATTTATAAAGTCTCATACAAGAAGGAAACAGCTGTTCACTGCTTCCTTGTATTTTAATGGCAGTTTCATTGAGGTTAATTCTTGACAGGCTCAGTCAATGAAGACTCACAAGCACACTTAACCGATTCACCACATTTCTTTCATACCTTAAGATTAGCCTCCACATTGCCAACTTGAATATTTACTATGCACAAGGAGCGCTTCAACGACATCTACAGTCAAAACCCTGAACCTTTTGAATATCCTCTTCTTCTATAGACCATGATTCACAACCATAGAGCAACACAGAATTGACTACTGTTCAGTTTATTCGTCTTATCATTGTCCAATGGATATCTTATTTATGTTACAAATGAAGCAATTTTTTGTAAGACTTAAGCGATCTCTCCCATCACTCAGTCGAAATCCAAACGTTCACATTTCTAACTACAGTTAATAGACGATATGACGTGGTCAGTGATTATAATCATAAAGTATAAAATCTGACCTGTATAAAACAACGATCAGATTATAATTATTTAATAAATCTAGATATATTCAAGAGAAAACACACATGATCAAAATCTTACTTACTACATCATCATAAATCTTATCATTGTGAATCACATTGATAAGATAAATGAAGAAAAAAATGATTGATTGACCGATCAGCCTGATTAACTTAGCAAATTACAGCAACACATGATGATGATCATTATCATGAAGAGCACTCATCGACCCACAAACACTCATACATATATACAACATACATTCACACATACACAAACACACGACCATACGATCCATTCTAATTCACATGCAACAATGAGATAATAATAATAATAATTTTCTTTTTATATGCAGTAATATTTATCTTAGATATTAAATCAACGTCAATTTCGAAACAATTATAATTAGTAATCTACATTATATACATAGTGGTGTGTGCTATTGACGTCGACGGATATAAGTAGTATGTATCACCAATCGAAAGTGGAATGCCTGGAGGCAGAAAGTTGAGGAAATTGAAGAGAACAGACCGAATGCAGTGATTGGCATGGGAACGAAGAAATAACACAGTCTGATACAATTGACGGATAGTTCGCAAATGAAGTATTTTTGTACTGTATAGTTCTCAGATTTTACTAAGAAATTCTGTAATTTTGTATTCAAACACACTTGGTTGTCCCCCATTCATGTGTTCTCGTTCACTACTATATATATGAAGTTAGTATTAAGCATTTGGATCCAATGAATCAATAAAGAACTCAATAATCTTTCTTATGACGATATGTTGTGCTTACTAGTGGTTAACTTTGAAAAGTTCTAGTGAGAAGCCATAACCAGTGTGCAGTTTGGATTCATGATCGAACATAAAGACAAAAATATCACAAACGACAATAATGATTTAGTCTCATCTATAGGGTAAGATTGCCATAATAATGTAAGTCTATTGTAACTGACTTCAGTTTTAAAAAAAACGTTAATAACTACGAAACATTAGAGTTATTTCGTCTGGCGAGACTATAAATTTTATGGACGAACCAATCAGATATAAGATAGCAGATCTTGTATGTTTGCGTGAAATTCACCTATTTGGCCAAATATCATTTTGGCATTTTAGCTTATATCAGTTGGTGATGAAAACTCTAAATGTAGTTTCTAACCCTAATCATCAATTGTAAATCATAATTCTACTTTCTCACACTGGTTTATAACCCTTATTTTAGTCCTAGTTAGTAGGTAACTATTCTCAGGGTCACTTTAGCGTCACTCAAAGGTCATCCATAATCTCACATAACACCTCTTTACAACTTCGAAAACTAGCATCAAACTACAACAACACAACTCAATAGTATTCAATTACTATATTTTCTAGAGATTTTAAAAAAGTAACCTGTCCGTAATTCTCATGGACATACACATGCACATATTCATTGACAAATAAACAGATATAGATATGTAAATGTAACAAGAGTGTACCAAGGTTACAATGATTTGGAGAAGACAAAATTGTGTTTCACTAAATCATCACAATCACATGATGCATACATTTAATTATAACTATATGGTTACAAAATAGTGTTATGCATAACTGTTACTTTTAATATAAACATGATGAAATATTTGACAAAATGTTTCAATTTACTTTTTTTGGCATGCTGTGATGAATACACACACACACACACACACATAAACATGTGTGCACTTAAGTGCTCTTCCAAACGATGTGATGTTAATGTATAGTGTACATTGAGAAAATTTAAAAAGTATATTTGACATAGATACATTCAGTATGACGATAAACATATTCAATTACCAATGCTGAACAGAGCTTGATATAAATTTGATTTCTTGTTAGTCGTTAAACTATAGCTAAATAATTAACAAAATCAAAAGCCTCATTTCATTCCATTCTCAAGACTTTACAGCACCTAAATGTACATATACTGACAAGTTCTAAAGAAATAAGACGAAACGCTCGTCCTAAATTCTACTCTATCTAAAAACACGATAACAAAATCAACAGACTAATCTCTCAAGTAGGAGACATAATTAGAGGATACAGCAGCAATTACTAAGAAGAGGTGACCAACAACCTCCCCTGAGAGAATCTTTATGTTTATGTGTGTGTCATGAAGTACTGGGGAGATAGCCGCCGCGCCAATGATATGCATGTAATGTGTAAGCCAGTCTGCTGTAGCAAATTTATTTCAAAGGGGGCGGTGAATATCTACCCTCCCAAGTGGGTGAATATATTTATATTCACGCAATGGGATGCAAGGGATAAAACCAGTATGTTACCGGTATACGTATTCACAGGGTAGGTATACATGTATATATGCCAAGGGATACATGGATGAGAGACTGTGTATCATCTAGTACGCAAGTAGATTGTAACTATCCAGGGTAAAACCTCAAATAATCCTTTACTTACCCTTCTTGGTGAGACACCCACTCCAAGACCCGTAGGGTTGTGGTTCCCCATAAAACCACATCCATGCGGTGGGTTTGTGAGCTTTGAAAACACGGAATCCATTACAGAAGGGCCACTAGGCTTCAATACAAAAGGCTTGACTAAGCAGTCTGGCTGGAACACAGTACGACTACCACCGATTTTAGGATATAACAACAAATATCTCCTTACCATGCACACAAATTATAATTATTCAAAACATACTTGGTATTGTTTTACTTGAATCTTCCTATCAGGACTCAATAGCTAAGTGGATAACGCGATGGCGTTTTAAGCGAACGGTACTGAGTTAAAGTCCCAGAGTGAAAATCAACTCTGAGATGCAGGTACATCCAGCTGACGAGTCCCAAACAGGACGAAACGCGCGTCCTGGATTCCACTGCTAGTCACTATCCATCTTTGCTTATATTCAAAACATATTTTTAAAATGTTTTTTCACAGTCAATTCTAACCGTATTCAATTATTCAAGTTTTCTAACAGTTCAGACGCTACAACTACGTTTTCCATTCTTATATCTAAGGTATTTGAATTTCTATAAAATGTTCTTCTTTCTTTTCAATGGATGGATAGAAAAATATAAAATACCATAGAAATGTGACATCCGCTACCGATTTTAAGCCATATCGTTCAAAGATCTTAACTGAAGAATATTTGGTACTCAAAACAGTTTTTATTCGAAACCAAAGTCAACACTAACGTTCCAACAGTTCTATTGTACAGTGGCGAAATTCCAATTACCCCAACCACCATAAAAAGCTACAGATATTATTAAACGGCTGTCAACACAAGATACTCCAGATCAATTAGAGATCATTAGGTATTACCTACTGTAAAAGAGAACCAACCGGCTTCCAGATGATGAGAAAATTAAGAAAAAAAACACTGAAAGTGGATAGGACAAGCAGTACAGAATTCATGTAACTTCACCACAAGGTAAAACCCAACTTAGAATCATTAAGGCTAGGGAAAAGAAGGGAGGTCAAAGAACATGAGGTGCCGGGGATTGACGGCAGATATCAAAAATATGAAAATTACCCGACAACAACTAGAAAGGAGAACGCAGGACAGAGTTGACTGGAGATTCCTGGTTGGCGACCTATTACTCATGAGTGCTAACACGATCAGTTCAGTAATTAGCTAAAAGATCTATAAACATAGATTACAACCGTTTAATCAACTCCACAACAACAAAGTTTACTTCATCCAACAAAGATTAAACTAACAATAAACAACTTTATGGACTAATGCTACAGTTTCATTTGATCATTTACATATTTCTTATTCTATTTACTTGGAACATAGTCTCGCCGGAGACTATAGGGACTAACAGCTGTTCAGAATTTATCATATTTAACGAAAAATGAAAAACGACTAGTATTCCAAAATTAGCTAAACTATTTATTTATTCTACTGTGCCCGCAGTGTCGAGTCACCTAGATTGGTGGCCACATTGCAACATGATCGATAGCATTCGATCTGCACTAATAAGGACTAGACACGCATGACATTGATCGCCACCTAGTGATCAACCAATTGTGATTACATCTCAGTCCTACAAGAGATCAATCGCGGCTCAG